TTTTAATGCAAAACGTCTCACTGCTCGAAGGCTGAAAGTTTCATTATTCGGGGGCACACAGCCTGAAACAGCGGATGGTGCCCAGAAAGCGGAACAGCTTAGCATCGACATCTCGAGTTGAAGCTCGAGGCCTGCCCAGTGATGTCCGCGAGCAATGGCTGTCGAGGCCTGACTGACGCGGAGAAGAACGACCCGCAGGCGCGCGCAACTCCTTGTTTTCCCTTCTGGCTCAGAGCACCACCCTTCAAGTTGCGAGAAACCCTTTGTGACCTGCATTCCGATGTAAACAGACATGGTGGGCTTTCTCCTCGAAGAACATCCGGATAGCACATGGCAGCCCAGACCAAGAGTGCAAACACGACTGCACCCTGATATATTTAACTTCGAACCTCAACGTACCTTGCATCCGGTGCTCGATCCGAACAAAGCTTATCCCGATAGCCAGTGTTGTCTCGGGACCCTGCTGTGGTCGACCTGGTCTGGGCTTGAAGTTGCTGGCCCACCCTGCCCGAAGAGCCTGCCGAAGCTGCTGGGTACAGGTTGCACTGCACGGATCAGGGAGTTTCTCTTCAAATCCCCCACTGCCGCAGCCGTCGCCCTGGCCTCAAGGTCCTCATCAACTCCATTCGATTCGAAATCCTGCAGAGGCGCACATTCGTGCGTCTGGGAGGACTCCAAGTACACAATACATGCATTCACCTGAGAAGCATGAAGTTGCTCAGCACCTTCTCTGCCTCCTTCGGCCAAGCTTGTGTGCTGCCACGGGGTCCTCGAGCATACGTTGCGCAGCCTTCCTGACGGGAAATCTCTTTGTGCCCTCAGCGCATACCAGCCCTCTAGAATAGACACCAGCCTCTGGTAGATATCGAGGATGTCCTTCAAGCATTTCTGCGGAATCAAACTTAGGTTTCTGCTCGGACCAAAGCCGGTGTTTCTGAATTCTCTCGCAATTGCCAGCGACGACGGCATGTCCTCGAAAAGATCTGGCTTGTCATGAGTACCATGTCTGGCACCTGCATGTCTTGGTGGCATTTTGGCCGACAAGTCTTAGCTATCTGAAGCCGGCCCTAGCTCTCAGGATGTTGCTCTTTGTTGTACAAAGGTGCTCCACAACCTCTGCAGGATCAAACTCTATGCATGTTGAAGGTGCGGAGGGCCTGAAATCGATAGCGATCGGCAGTTCAATAATACCAGTACAGCCAGCAAAGTTGCGTCACCGTGCAAAACAGAAGGCAAAAGCAGCCGTTCCCTGTCTCCGTAGTCTTCCTATCTCATCACTGACCATGCACGCCTGCACAGGCGAACCTCCAACGAAATGGCGGTGACTTTCACTCGTCCCACACTGAAGCTCAGAAACGCCACCAACGAAAAAAACTGAGGCACAAACTCATCACCAAATCTACATCTGCGATGCAGAGTAGCTTCTGGGCTTCGTGGTTGCTTGGCGTTTCCGGGCGGCTTTCTTGCAGTCGTGGCCTTGGCACTGTTTCGACTATTGAAAACAAACAACCTTCACTCGTTTTTGGTGGGGTGGGTTGGTGGTGTTGCTTCGCCCCACCACGCCAACGCAGCCAGCTTGTTGCGTCCGGCAAGTTGTCCAAAGCTTCAACCGTTTCGATGCCGCGAGACTGCATCCTTCACCAAGAACTGCAGCGAACCTAGCTGCATTTCCGGAAGAAGCGGGCCTCTCATGTACGAGCGAAGCACCTGCTTCGCAACCGTTTCGGCATGATCCTTTTTTCCACTCGACAACAGTCGTTCAAAAGCCGTGAATGTCAGCAGCCCGAGAAGAGCCCCCGGAAGTGAGCGGCAGCAAGGAAGTGTGCGAAAAGATGTCCAAAACAGACCTTGATGGCGTTTTCCAATTAAATACTTTCCGCAGAACCTGCGAAGCTAGCTGGTGGATCTGCTGATGGCCCGTCGGAGTGTAGCTGCGGTTTACAACCACTGACACGTCTTTGACTGTTGGCTTATCAAGACAGGAAGCCTGAACAGTCTTTGTGTTTGCCAACCCAGCAGCAACAGGACAAAATCCTTCCGCAAGCTCAAGTTCGCGATATTGTTGAACAAAGCTTTATTGATTTTGGAAGCGTCCTAACAGACAGTCGTCGACAATGCCGGTGCAAATGGGAAAGGCACACAAAAACGAATGCCGCTAATTGTCCTAAGCTCTCACCACTCAGTTTCCCGGCATCGTGAGCTTCTGAATGGCGCTGCAAGTGCAGACTGGGGGCACGGACCAGCTGTGAGTTGGCAACAATCGTCAAGCTTGCTTCAGATCCAGCAACTACTCCTGAAACGAAACGCAACGGCCCCCCACTGTTGCTATCAGTTGATTTCACTGTATAATGGTTTGACTTCGGGTCCTTCTCTAACCTTACTTTCTGGAAACTGCATTCATTTTATTTTGATCTCCCACCCTCCTCTTCCCTTGTCATGCCTGGCTCCGCGAGCCGAATCGAATCTGGCGCAGCAGGCCTCGAGCGGCAGACGTCCAAACAAAACCGGTAGTTGTCCCACCCGCCTAGCTGACCAAGTTGCACTGGTTTGGGGTTTCGGGTTTAGTCTTTCTTTTGTTGGAGGCCCCTTCTCCATCTAGTAGGGTACGGCTTGAGGCAGCTCCGGCCTAAGCTACAACAAGCTTTGATCAAGAACGGGGGTGGACACCATCTCCGCATCTTGCAGACTGAAGTCTTCAAATCAAGTACCGTCGGGGAGCCCTTCGAGCTTGCTGGTGTTCCCTGTCGGCTCGATCACGGCCGCACGGAGTGAACTTAAGTACACATATGCTGAGTGCTGGAACCGTGAACTCCAGGTACACGCCTCGTCGTCGGCATTGTTTGTGAAGATGAACGATCGCATGTGTTTTCTTTCCATCCCGCATGAAGCCTACGGCCTCTCTTTGCTTTGCTTTGGGTATGAGGCACCGGCAGTCCCTCTTGCTTGCTTGGGGTTTGGGTGCAAGCGCCCTGACCCGAAGGCCTCCTCCCCTCAAGGCGAGCGGCACTCTCTCTCTCTCTCTCTCTCTTCCTTCCCGCATCGGGGATCTGTCAAATCGTCCTGGCTCCAGGCCCTCCCCCCCCCCCCGTATGTTACAGGGCGTTTGGAGGGATTGTTGAGATTTTGTTTCCCCCCGAGGTACCGCTTCAAGGTCTCCAAGTAACCATCTCTCTCTCTCTCCCTCTCTCCCCCTCCCTCTCCCAGGCAATCGAAACGTCAAGCGTGACAAAACCCCAAATCTGTCCGGTCTTGCAACCCTGCCGCGCGAGACCTCCTGACCTTAGCGTCAGCCACAATTGAAGTCGAAGCAGTCTAGCTCAGCCCGGGTGAACTTCCGGCCAGCCCAAACTCAAGTTCAAAAGCATCGATGACGCGATTCCGGTGTAGCGGCTCGGCCTTTCTGGCAGTCCGATTTCACCGCGCCACCCAAGCTTCCACGAGCACCGCCAAACGATTGGGTCAGTTGGCCGAACAGCCTCTCGAACCCAAAAGATGATGGGACTTCTCGCAAGCCTGCTGAGCTACGGTGCATGCACCTAGGCACCCGCGCACACACACGCACACACACACACAAAGCGGGCAAACACAACTCCAACATAAACACCGACACACACACACATATACATACACACACAACGGTATGGGCATCGCCGTCTCAGAGAACAGCTAAATCGGCGTGGGGCGATAAAAACTCGAGGTGCTGAGCATGCATGCAGCACACAAACAGCCTCGCTGCGGCGTCTCGATGTTCGGACAAACGGCATACGTGCTGTGGTCTGCGGCCAGGATGCTTCGCACTCGCATTGTCAACCATGGGATAACCTAAACCTCTATGCACTACTCTGCTTTCGGTTACATCCTGTTTTCTGTCGGTGAACATGTCCCAATAGCAAATAAATTTACCGACCTGGTTTCTGTTGGCCAGCATGGACCTCGGGCCAAACATGCCGGCGCGCGAAACCCACTGATCCCCCAGCTTGCCACCTTCCAGGTCTCTCGCTTGCTTGCTTGCTTGTCTGCCCGTGACTTTCTTTAATCTCCTCTTCTTATTGTACAGAGGAACCAAGGCCCCATTGTGCTCCGCTCTGCAAAACTCAGCCAGAGGCCCTAGGATTAAATCCGGCGTTTCAAGGCCTGGCACACGGCTTGATCCTATGCACACCCAGTGACCCAGTATCTGTAGCTACCTCTATCTGTTCGAAGTATGCGAAGTAGATCGTCTGTTGCTTTCATTTTTCCATGGCAGTCTTTTCATTCCCCCTCTTCCTCGCTCGCTTTCTGTGGGCACCTTTCAAGTCTGCTTCTCATGCATCACGTTGAACGAGGCTCTTGTGTGTAAGGATGCATGGGTTTTGTGTCATGTTGGCGGAACCGACCGCTCCCGTAATTCGAACTCAGGCGCCATCTAGGCGCCTGTAAATTCTCATCTGCAGGTCATGGATGGCAGTCTCCTTGAAACGGTTCGACTTACTAGTGTTGAAGATCACTAACGAGGTGTAGTGTGTGTCCAGTGCATAATTCAGGCCCGTGCGCCAGGGACATGACATGACAACTGTCTACTGGCAAAGATGTGATTCCTGGGTGTGTTGGTGGCCCTTTTTTGCGCGGGGTGTCATGTGTGGAGTCAAACTGGCTGTGTCTCAAAGCCTCCCTGTGATCGAATCCGGTAGTGTATGTCTCCGTGAAAGCTACGCTGAGAGACACATCCGTGTTAAAAGTGGCTCCGGAAGGCTGAGGCTCCAGAGGAATGAGTGTAACACCTATTGCCATCACTGTAGCTGACTGAAGCTAGGCAATACGGGCCTCATCTGTCTGAACGATCGTCCTTATTATCTGAGCAAGGATCCAGCAGCCCAACTTGGGTTCAGCTCGGAATGCAAGAGTCCATAGTTAGGAGGCAAAGTCTGCTCTGTCATGGAGACAGAAAGCGAGTCGAAAGGGTTTACTTTCGCACCGCTTTGGCTCAGCCAAGCGAACTATTCGGTACACTCTTCATGTACCTAAAATGAATGTTGCTCCGCGTCCTCTGAACGCGGCAGCTCAAAAGCAATTCCTGCACTTTCACATCCGACCCGCCCTTCTGAATCACTGTCCGATGCACCTAAGGAGCTCAAGCGACCCAGTTCATCAAAGTCGGTGATAGCATCTGTCACTTCGGTCGGCCTGTGCGCTGGGGAAGCCTTGTCTGCAGCGTCCTTGGCACGAGACGTCCGGACACTTCCGGGACTAATGGAGTTCATCAGGTCCGAGTTTGCTGAACCCGGGACGCTGTTTCCATGGCGTCCGGTGGAGGTTTTGCCCATCAACATGGTATCCATTGAGGCGACCAAGCGCTTTGAAATCTCTTTGGCTTGCTGCAGCAGCAATCCTTCTGCAGCATGAGAGCAGCTGAAGGGCATGGAGATCTTCTTGAAGATTGCTTTGTACGCATCAACCAAGTAGGGTCCCACATCTGGTCCAAGCCCGTCAACTCCCAAACCCTGTCCGTGCAAAACCGTGTAGAACTCATGGCCGGGATAAACAAAGCCTGTGTCTGCATTCACAGTGATTAGCTTGGTCCAGGCTCGCCCTTGCCTATCCCCGCCAGAGCTAGATGAAGCGATCGACGGTACCTTCGTCATCATCATGTCCGATCCTGTGCCGTCGCCGTCCTTCAGCGCTGCCCTACTCGCTTCGAGTATCATCTCGGCGAAAGTAGCATTGTATAGCACTCCTTTGTGAAGCAGTACCTCGCAGCGAATGCATTGTGGGACCACACGAATGCAGGTCACACTACCATTCAGGAAAGGGGGAGTAAACCACATCGTGCTAAGCCCAGCCCCCCGTGTCATGCTGTCGGCGCAATACTCTAGCAGAACACACGTCACGTCCCCGTTGCTTGATTTGACAAGCCCGTGACCACTGCGACAACCGTCGACGCCGTCGACCACACTGCGGACAAGTCTAGCTCGGTATTCTTATCGGGTCTCAATAGGTGAAAGCCGCATCCGTCATTCTACACCTGTTCTGAGTGTTAGGCATTGTGGCTACTTGGTATGGTGCTGAAGGCCATCCCAACCTGTTCAAGCAGGCTCACTCCGCTAGATGACACCACTATGATGTCGAACCAAACCCTGCCCAGGTTACATCATCCCAACGTTAATGATTCTACTTTGCTTCCGCTTTACAGTATACAGCAAGTAAAGCAACCACCCAGGCCAGGCACAATGAGGGAGTCAGCGGTTGGCAATGCTTTGACCATCTCAGCGCGGGTTCGTGGCCCGGCAACTCGCTCCTGGAGCGTTGCCATGGCAAACGCAGTAAGAACAACGGCAAGAGTCATACTCGCAATAGCCGACAACAATCGCAGTCCCAATCGTTCTTACAATTGCAGCAACAATAGTTGGAGGGAGTTTGCAGCCCAGGTTGCCCCAAATAGTTTGGAACAGCACGAAACTTCTTAAAAACGAGAAACGCAATGTATTAGATGTGAAGCCGCCGCAACTCTACTAGTAGTAGTAGTAGTAGTAGTAGTAGTAATAGTAGTAGTAGTAGTAGTAGTAGTAGTAGTAGTAGTAGAGTAGTAGTATAGTAGTATAGTAGTATAGTAGTATAGTAGTATAGTAGTATAGTAGTAGTAGTA